GTTCTGAAAAGGGGGAGGCTGTTCGCAAAGCTCTCGAAGAGCGGTTCAACGTTTGCCTGGAAAGTCGGAAGCCGGCAATCCAGCAGCTCGTAGAAGAGCACTTGAGGGGCAAACAACTGAGGGTTTTGTCGTGCTGCTGTGGTAGATTGCTTGCCGTGGTGAGAAAATTTCTCGTTATGGTGAGTATTGTGTTTGCTTGTCGTGGTTGCAAGGCCTGCTCGCTTGTACGCTTGTGCCTGGCAGAGAGGTCTCAGTGCCCAAGATGGTGAAAAGCACGACGTGAAAGAATTAGTAGACTCGGTAGACGCTATTGTGTTGTCTGCTGCCATGTCATTCGGAAGCCCTACCTGCAAGGTCGTGATCTTCTTGACTGGCGGAACTCGGTCTTCAAAGATGTCAGGAAGTTCATTGCCCTGGTTCTATAACGTGATGACCCTCCTTGCACTTGCTACACGGCTGGACTTGTGGATTCGCCCCCAAAGCGAGAAGACCGGTAAGACTTCTGGCGTCTTTGCCAGTAGCACACACCGTTAGATGAACGTCTTGAGGTTTCGTCAATGCTGTGGCTTTCCGCTCTTTCGGATGACACTTTGCTGGATTGAAATGTTCCTAAGTACAACCTTCAGGCTGGCAAAGCTCAGTTCTCCAGCACACCACCCGCAGACTTGCCAAAGCCACCATGTTGATGCTAGCATTCCAGGAAATCACCGCATCTCTGGAGGGGCTGTGCCACTTCTACAAGATATCACGATTGCGTTCCGGGTTCACGCTGTTGGCCTGGGGTGCCAGGGACAGCATTGAGCAATGGCGTCAACTGTGCAATGTGGCCTTCTGGCAATCCATGCCAACAGATGTACTGTTGAGGTAATTGTGCCGGCGACCTGGTTGCAGCCTATTCGATCTCACTCATGGGTGAGTTTTCACTTGCCTTTAATGGATCCCTGGCAGCAAGACAGTAGTAAACGCACAAAGCACGTTGTACTGAACTTCACTTAGATTTGATGACGCTGCTGGAAGTGGGGCATGTTGGCACTCGCAGGACTTGTGGCAAGCCAATTCTTCAACACCGCGGTGCCTGGTCAAGATCCGACCTTCTAGAAAAGAGGTGCTATACGCTCCAAAACGTGACTTCTGGGCAACTCCAGGTTGGTTTCAGCACCGCTTTAATGACGGTGACCTGGAAGCACGCGGACATCATCTTGTTTCCCAACGGCTGGCCTTCAGACATCAGCCATCCATTGCTGGCACTGCCCTCAAGAAGCACGAGTGAAATAGGTGGCTGAGTGGACATGATCAGAGCACTCAGGCATGCGCGATTGCAATTCTGCTGGTGGTGAACTGCCCAGCTTTCTCTCCAGCTTGGTTGTGAATGTTGTTATCTTGGCTTTTTTCCCTGAGGTTCCATTTTTGCCTGACCAGGTGATAACTCTGGCGGTTTTCAGCCTGGTGGATCTCCATGTTCGGAGTCCATGTTGGGGGGCTGTGCCTTGCTTATCGGCTATGCTTTCGTCCGACTTGCAGCAAGCCAGCCTGCTGCAAGGTGCTGGCGGCTAATTATGTCGTCTTCTTCATCTACATGTGGAGGAGTACATCGGTCGATGTGCCACATCAGCTGGCCACTGCTGGGTGATACTCAGCGAGAAAATTGTGCACAGCATGCGCATGTTGAGGCCAAGCATGCTGTCAGATTCTCCCCAAGTCTTCTCCTACAATACGGCTCGAAGCGTCGCTGTAAGGAGCAGAACGAGCAGTGTTCAAATTATGCAGCTTGAGTCACCCAGCACAAAGCTATTCAGGCATAGAGGTATTTGTTGATTTGTTTGACAGACTTGGTTGGAAACCGCTCGACTTTCAGGGGGCAGCTGGTCAAAGCTCATCCCAAGGACATTATTGGTTCCAGACGTGACTAAGAGCAACAGTAACGGCAACTGCTGCAGCAGCAAAAAAAAGCATGAGGAGCAGCTCGCTGTAGCCAACAGTCATCAAGCGCTCACATGGCGCAGATGTCTGTAAATGGCAGCCAAGCAGAGACACATCAGCCGCAAGCTGGGTCTGCTGAGGCCTATTCGTAATTTCGTAACAGGCCTCTGCTGCTTGATATGCACGCTTCTTCTCTGGCACAGGAGGCATGGCGCAGATGCCAGCAACTCCTGTCTCGTTTGCCTCCCATGGAAGGCTGCTTGGACTGCCACGCACAGCAGCTTTGCAAATGCAGACTGTCAGATTTTCACATGTGCAGGATGCGCTACCTAAGGAAGCATCAAACATGAGCGAGCGTGGAGTATTGAGGATTCTTTAGAGCAATTCCAATGTCTAATGCGACAGAATCTTGGCTTGAAAAACAGGGACGGAGGACGACAGAGGCCACAAAGTAGTCTTGAGTTTGCGATGTGTTGAGGACATCTGAGCTGCAGCTAAGGCATGAGCTTCAGTCAACACTTGGCCAGAGCCATGTCGCTGTCAAGCAGTTGAGAGCCAAATTCTGCCGACTGCATGCCGCACCTTGCCAGCAATGCGCCTACAGTGTTAGAGCAGAATTCATCAGTAAGTTGTAGCATGCAAGACAGTTGAGTGGGTGTCTTGCTGCGGAAGGAAAGTGTGGCAGCTGCAGCAAAGAAGGCCTCGCTGACAAATGCGTCATTGTTGAGAGACCCTTCTGCAGCTTGGGGCTTATCGCAAGGCAGAGAGACCATTGGCAAGCGGCACCGCTATGGAGGCAAAAGGATTGCAAAAGCTGCTCACGACAGAATCTGCTGTTTGAGCATCAGGGAATCAATTTGTTCAGTTGTGAAGGGGGCTCGTCAAGAATGCATGCGGGCCCTCGTCGTCTTAACAGCGGCCTAGGTGCGTCAGGCTGCTGAACGGCTTCGTACTTCTTTGAAGCTTCAGGCCATTACAGCCAGACACTCTGAGGAGTGCCTTGCTTGCACGTGAGGAGTGCCTCGAGCTGCCAAAGGCTCATCCACCAGCTTCCAATCATCAAGCTTTCAAGAGTGGCACCAAATTTTGTGGCTGAGGAAGACGAAAGCCATAGAAGAGGACGATGTATGTGCCATATGAAGAGCTTCACAGTTCTAGTAACAAACCTTGTTCTGATGTTTGAGTTACCATCGTCTGCATGTCGTGGAAGGTGATGTGATTTGTGTAGACCTTGTGAAGCCCATGCTTGATGAAGAGCAAGGGCCAGGCTGAGACAGAATTCTCGGTACGTAGCATAGTGGCAAACCCGCCATTGCGCATGGATTGGCCACAGTTGTGGTCTGCCAGGTGAACCATGACATCTCATGTGCCTGCAGGAAATCAAGAAAAGCAATGCTGCGACTTGGACTTTTTATTGGCATTGCGACGATCATCACACGCAGCTGCTCAATGATTCTTGCATGACACGTCCCCTGCACGCATCATCCAAGAAGGCTGCAATCACGTGAAAAGCAACTGAGACTTGAGGAGATGATTTCACTGCGGGAAGCCATAGAGGACGTCATCAACGATGGAGGCCCGCCTTTGGCAGGTCGACAAGGGACCGGGCGAGCAGAAGTAGGAGCAAACAGGCAGGGCACAGCAAAATCCGAGTTGCAGCAGTAACCAGGTTTGAGCTGCTGACTTGCTTTGAGGAAATGGTTCTACTGCGCCGCGGCATTGTTAGCAACCGATTCCAAAGCAGCCTTTTCTTGATGGTTCCAGAGCAGCTTATGCTTTGCAGAATGAGCATATGGGCATTGCAGAGGTTCTGACTGTCGTGTGGGTGGACATGGGCAGCGTTTCTGCAGATACCTGCTGAAGAGACCAAACTGGCGAATTTATCCCAGTGAGAAGTGGTTCGAGGATCGGAATGGACAAGTCAGCCACTGCCCTTTGGGGAAGAAGGCCGTAGACTTCACTGACGAGACATACTTCAGCAGAATCGCCATGCACATCAAGGGCCGGATTTGGTTGGAAGACAAGCGAAAGCTGTACGAGTTTGTTCCAGATCTGATGCCCTACACTTACGTCATCCAGAACAGGCTCTGCGCGAGTGCTAGCCATGCTCGTAAATTTTGGGTGTCATGAACTTTCATGAGACGTGTGCGGAAACGTGAGCGGTTGCGCTGGGACGGGTGGAGTCAGATCATGAGAGGGTGTCGGCAGAACCGACAGTAGGGTTTGCAAGAGCATGGTAACCAAGCTCAGATCCAAGTTCAGGCAGGACCCTTCCGAAGTTCTGTGTAATGATTTTAAATGCGACCAGTACAAGTGCGCTTGCATGAGGGCCAGATAATGTGAGATGTGCCTGGTTTATGCAAACATTGAAGTGAAACATGTTTATGAAACTGCTCTGCAGCGTGAGGGAATGGGTCGGAGAAGTTCCGCCAACGCCTCCAGAGGATGCGCCTCCTTGGCCATGGTTCGTCAAGGAGACGGACAGAAACTGGGGAACTAGCAACTCGTCATCTGCAAGACGCTAATGGCTGCCTGTGAGAGCCCAAAGTTACAACAATGGCGTTCAGGTCTGGTGTCCAAACACTAGCATGCCCATATCCAGGCACGTTTCGAGAACACAGCAGTTGTCAACATCGGACTGTTCAGATTCTAAGATGGCATGTCGTGTGCTGCTCCCAACGATGCTTCTTTCGTACCATTCCTTGCTTTAGAAGCACGAGGAAGCATCGCACTGTAGTCCAGGGCTGTGAGTGGAGTTTAATTTTTCAGGGAGGGTTTTCAACAATTCCTGTACTTCATCAAGTTGATAGCTAGCAAAAAAAAACGATTATTGAAAGGGTCTTTATTAGACCCAACAAAGTGTCTTCACACAAGTTCAGTGGGAACCGTGTGCACGATTAAGTTGCATGTGTTTGGGTTGCGCTGCATCGCGCAGCTGGTAACTCACCAAGGTGTCGTGTGCTGCGCAAGTCCAGAAGAGTGCTTGCAGAAAGCCAAAGATGATGCGACCTACGTTGTTCAGAAGCACATTCCGGACCCATTGTTGTACTACAACGGTGAGAAATGTCACATCAAGTGCCGTGGATCAATGTTAACTGAGCGGAAATGTGTGCTTCAGGGCGTATTTGCCCTGCATGTCAAGCGGTCACCGTCATGCAGGTTCTACAACCTGCTTATTGGGCTGGACGATGGGGTAACGTGGCGTCTCTACACATACAAGGACGGGTATCTGAGCATTTCCCCGAAGCCCTGGTCTCCAACAGATCTGCTGGTAGCTTACAGTCGGTTAGGGTCATCCTGGCATTTGCCATCATCAGCAAAAAACTGTCCCAAGGTCAAAAGAGTGCCAAGTGACCATCATTCGAACCAAGCGCATCAACGATTGGCCGTACTGGGAAAGGGTGTATCCGAAATGCCAGGCAGCGGCCTATGGCATTCAATAAAGGAAGGCGAGGAACAGCACGAAACAAGAGTCTCTTGAAATCGAAGGCTGGTGTGGCGACCGTGGTGAAGCGCGCTGCGGAGCAGGGTAAACTGGAAGGGCGAAACAAGATCCAGCACCTGACCTGAAACACGATGGCATAGAATCATTTCTTGGAACGTCCCTGGTTCCCTAGTTCCTTCGACCCAATGCGCCGAGTGAGGTTTGAGATCATCAGTGCAGACTACATCGTCACTGCCAACGAGGATGTGTACTTGCTTGAGTTCAACACAGGAGCCGTGTTGTGAGCAGACACTCCTCGACAAATCTTAGCTGTGACATCCTCAGGACCTGTCCTGAAAGATCCAGAAGACTCCCCAGATGTGCACGATGCCGGGAAGCTTGCCCCTGACATATTTGTTTCATTACAGATTCGGAAAGACCAGCTAGGCAGCTGGCAGCAGAAGAAGCCTTGAATGACACGATCTTAAGGATGGTCGACGGTGCATTACACATCGTGGAACCGTGGCAGGGGGGAAGCCCGTGCCTGTGGGATCTGGCCTTGGAGTGCAAGGCGAAGGGTTTGTCTCTGGCTAGCACATCTCAACAGTCCTTTCCGGGGGCTCGCGGTTGTAGCGGTCCCCAGCAGCTCGCCCTTAGCTTACTCGTAGCGTAGTTTGTGTGTTCAACTTAAGGCCCTGGGACGGTGTGGGGGAACGGGTGGGCCAGAACCTCTTTTCATTCTAGTCGGCAAAATGCGGTTGTCTCCATGGGGTTTCTGGATGATCAGAGGATGGTGGCCCAAACACACATATTCCAATGACGGTTGCCAGCCTATATCAAGCTAGCGTTCCAAGACAGCAAAAGTCACAGAAATTTCAGCCCCCCCATCCCATAACGGGACATGGCAGGGCAACTGCTAGTTTCTCTCTCTAAAGCAGAGCAAGTGCAGAGCACCTCAACATGCATGCACATGCAATTTACGAAGAGGCCATGGTGAGAGTGTTGCCCTGTTGGCAGGGTATTCCGCCCAAGCCGGAGGAGTAGCTTGAAGGCATTCAGGTTGCTTGTGCATAGTTGTGCGCAATGACAAGGCTCTGTTTGGTGCAGCGTTTTTCTATGGACGCTTTTGAGTGATGAGGTTCTATGCAGGAGAAACTTGAGTCAGAGGCGGAAAAAACAATCGCCTTGGTTTTGGCATACTTTTTGTTCTGATTTCTCAGGATTGACAGAGGTAGCGGTGTCTGGAGCGGTTTGTGTTAGAAGCTATCCGGGGCTTTCTGTTTCTTCAGACAAGAGGTTCAAAGACTTCAGGAACTGGATGGAAGGTCGGATGGGTTTGTGGGATCTTTCCATCGGGTGTCTTGCAAGTGTAAAGATCGATGCAATGGTCTTAGAGGTCACCAATGGAGTTGAGAATTGATGGGTTGTGCGATTTGAGAGGTTGTTCTGGTCGACTGGTCAAAGCAGACAGATGGACCACGTGCAACCATGAGTAATTCTGGGTCGGTGAGGTTCAGGCGGGTCTAAGGTTTTTTCTGCCGAATTTCATTCGCAACACGTCAGGGGGAAGGTTGAAAGAGACGATAGATTTAGCGGCATAGTCACCACTGCTAGCGTAGCAGGCTTGAGCTATTCCTTGCTTTAGCAGTAGCAATGGCAAACAAGGTTGGTAAGCAGGCAACTGTTGATTCCATTCCATCGCAGGATGAGGGGAGTGGAAGTTAAATCTTTGACAGGAAACACAGCCTAGGAGAGTGGTGTCCGAGAGTAAATGTCAGCACTTTCCTTGCGAAGGGGCTTACTGACATGTCTCCACATTTGCTCATGGGTTGGTTGACTTGCTTGAGCTTCCTCCTCTCACTAAATGTGCATGGCATTGTCTGCATCTCACCTTGCTGCTCCTTCTGTGTACCACTGCATGGTCATGGTACAAATATCAATGTTTGGTTGTTACATCAAGCGCCTCCCTATTCCTTTTGTTCCTGGTCCCCTCTAAGTTGGGAGGTGCATCATCCAACAGATAAAGGACCTTCCTGTTCCCTCATCATTTACGTGCCCTGTCGTAAGGATCTGCAAAGATCCTTGACAGGAAATCCCTTACGCACACGTCTAAACCCAACATGAGTGATGGTGAGCACACTGCAGCACAGACCAACCACAGTCACGGCGCGGTGTGACTGTATTCCTTAAACCAATCCTCTTAGGATTTAGGGTTTAGGGTAGTAGAGACCCCCATACTGCCCTTGTTATTCCTATTCTATTGCTCGAGGATTATCAAGGGGTGATTTTGAGAACTCCCATATGGTACCAGCTGTGTACATGCACAATAGCGCTACAATCTTAACATCCGAGGCCAGTGAGAAAGAGTGGCGACCATATCGGAGCAAATTAAAAGCAACTTCAAACGAGCCTGCACTTAATGGGGGGTTGTTACCTATTGGGAGGGAAAAAAGGATTCCCTACATAGTCCCAAGAGAATATATTCCCGTACTGCCTAACCCCCAGTAAGGTTATCGCGAATGCTAAGAACAAATTGCAGAATTCAGTGTTGTGAATTAAAATCTACTTTGGCCAGACAGTATCCCAGATATGAGGTTTGAAGTTGGTCGTGTTTAGGGTTTAGAGGTTTAGGCAAGGCTTTTGGGCTCAACTTCTAATTTGCAGGCTCTGAGACTACAGGATGCGCAGCAAATCTTCCATCAACTCAGTGTCAATATCTCAGTGTCCAGAAGTGAGGGGTCTCGTGTTCGAGTCCATACATAAGGATTATGCTAGATTGGTGTCTTTTGGGGGCCCCTCATTTATGGACCCTAAGCCTCAAACTTTGCTGAATTCCGGTCTTTTTCTCGTAAGGCCAGCATCTCAACGGCAATCGAAACAGCTGGATCAGGGGAACAACAAAGTGTCGAGTGAACCCCAAACCCTTAACCCCAAAACCTTGAAAACCCTGCGCCTTAAGACCTGAAATGCAAGCGCCGCAAGCGCTCTTGTCGTGTCCAGAGCTCATACCAATTTGGCTCAGCTGGGCTAATTCTGCCTTCTATCCCTTCGCAATGAAGTATGCCTGCGCACTTCTCGTCCTGGCCGAGCGAGTGTTCAACGTTCAGGGCCTCGTGCTGGAGCCCGGAATGATATTATGAGGGTCTCAAGTCCTAGGGGTACGCGTTGAGAGTTCCAGGTAGCTAGGTAAGCTACAGACGGGTGCCCTTGTAGCTTGTAGGAGGCCTACGTAAACCTGATACAGTCCCAATATCCGTATCAAACTTGATATGAGGGGGTAGCCACCCGGCAACTACCTGCCTGGAACTGTTGCTGATATTTTCAAAGGGAGTAAGGAGGTTTTGAGTACAGAGTCTTAACTTCAGAAATTATCAATACCATTTCTTGCTCCCTTCAGGAAAATGCTTGACTGTATCTCAGCCAGGTCCTATGTTTGTTGGCTTTTGTGTTGGGGGTGTATTTTCTAGAAAGCTGGCTGTTCCACGCACGTGGGCCACGTGAGCGCTGCCATAACGTAACTCTTCTAAGACGTGGGATCAACTCCACGTTCGGTGGCAACTGAGGAGCGTAGCAGCGACCTGCCCGAATGTACTGGGTCTGTCACTGGCGTCTTGCAGGCAGATTGTGAAGACGGCCCGCTGGACAAGTGCTCGCAGTATCTCGCTACTCCCTCGTAGCACTTTTGCCACGCTGCCGTCTTTGTGTTGTGAGTGGTGTGACAAATTACTGCTTTTGTCCCTTGCCAGCTTTTCAAGCAAGGTATTACACCCCCATCACAACTGGCAAAACAGGAATGATCCAATGTGGAAAGAGCAATGGTGGCCAGTGCCTGAGTATGGGTCCCGAGTGTGTTACTCCCAAAGTCAAGGATGGCTTCAAGGAGGGGACCAGTTACTCTGTCACAAAGGTAAGCAAGAGAGGATACGAGTACTTTGGCAGTACCGGTGACGTCGGTGGGCCATGCGTCGGTGCGGATGGGAATCGACCCATGATGTGCTTTCCCAAAG